ACAGGGAAACCCCATGAGTCCAGGCAGGGAGGCTGTAAACTGAATGATCCTTGGAATTCATGCAGGACAGGGAGATAGTCCAGGTCCAACTACACAGACAGTAGAGACTATTGAATATCCAGGCATTTATTAGAGACCCCAGCAGAGTCACACCTTAAACTAGTGAAGGCTACTCTAGGGCCAATCTAATAAAGCTTAAAAAATAAGCCTTGAAAGGATCAAGCTGATCTGTAGTAACCTATCTGTCTGCCAAAGCAAACTCAAAAACTCTTTAAAGGAAGACATCAAAATCCAGATGTATAATCCCCTTCTCTTGAGTATATAGGCAGACCTGTGAATATGACGGGAGATGTGGTAGCCACTTCTTTAATTGGGTTATATCATATGACAAAGGTGAGAGGACTGACTACCTTATATTGCATAAGACCCTCCATAGCAGCTGACTGGAGAGAGATTCTCATGTTGCCTTTGAAGAAGCTGCCATGTCGTGAGAAGGTCATGAGGCTAGGACTTGGGGTTAGCCTGTAGGAGCTGAGAGTGATCTAGCTGACAGCCAGCAGAAAAAATGGGGACTTCAGTCCTATAACCACAAGGAACAGAATTCTGCCAGCTAATGAACTTGGAAGATCTTGGGTGTCATATGAGGTCACAGCCCCAGCCAACATCTTGATTTCAGCCTGCTAAGTCCCTGAGTAGAGGACCCAGCTCTAACCCATGCCTAAACTTCCAACCTACAGAACTGTGGGATAGTAAATGAATATTGGTTTAGGCCACTAAGTTTGTGGTAATTTGTTACACACCAACAGAAAACTAATATGCTTGGAAAGAAGACAACAGTGTCTGCTCTTACCACTTCCCTCAGCTGGAATTTCTAGTCTATGCAATATTTATCAATCAAGGTGAAACAAAACCTATTTCACTGTTATAAACGATGAAAAATAGCCCTTAAGTATATGAAATGATGTTCAACTTCACACGATTAGAAAATTGAAATTTAAAGTACATTGAGATACAATTTCTAACATACCAGGTTGGTAAAAATTAAAAAGTGTAACATTCTGTTGCAGAGGCTGTGGGGAAACTGGCCCTCTCATGTATTGTTAGTGGGAATGAAAATAAGTACAATCTTTTTGGAAGGCAATTCGATAGCATCCAACAAAACAACAGTATCCAACAACACATAGGTGTGTACCTTTTGACCCAGTAATTCTACTTCTAGAAATTTACCCTCAAGACACATTTCCAACAGTACAAAAATACATATCCACAAGGTTATTCCTAAAGCATAGTCTATAATTACAAAATACTGGAAACAAACTCAATGTCCATACAACAGGAATGGGGTTAAATAAACTGTAGTACATCCACATAATAGAGTAGTCTACAACAATGAAAAAGAATAATTAAGATTTCTATGAACTAATGTGGAGTGACTGTCAGGATATTTTGTTAAGTGAAAAAACTGAAGTGCAGAAGATCGCCTAAGTATGATACCTTTAAAGTAACAAACAAGGGTAAATTAAAAAAGAAAAAAATCTCTACTCAATAATTCAAAAGAAACACAGGAAGGGCATAGATAGGAATGGGATGGAAAGGATACAGAGAATTATGATAGAAGGGAACGACATTTTTCTGAGGAGAACTTTTTGTATAGTCTTACCTTTTAAAACCATGTTAATATCTCATATTCTTAAAAAAATCACAAGGATGGGAGGAGAAACAATAACACTGAATACAAACAAAACAAATAAACTGACCTGAATTTCAAATGAATAATGTTACTACACTGAAGAGGATATACAAAGAACTAACCAAAATAACTTTTGAACACAGTATTTGGGCTTTATGCCTTTAGGCTTAAGACGAGAACTCTAAACTGAACTGAATTAGTAGGTCTTTTCTCTTCAGAGGCATGGGTTAGCAATTTTGAAACCACTTTCTTTTCACTATAGGATTGAACAGTTAAGTAACATGTTATTGTTGATAATGGGAGCCAGGTTACACATTGTCACTGCGAAGGGAGTTAAAATATGGAAAGAGGTTAGGATAGAAAAGAACGAACTACAGGATATTGGATTGGAGTTGGAGATATCAGTATGAACTCATGGATTTTAAGGAGGCTGATTCTAGGCCAGAGGCAGAGAAACTTTAAGATGAAGCTGAACATCTTGTGTGCTAAAAAATAAGCAAGAACTCAAAGAATGCTAGGGACAGGCTAAAAGGGCACAGGAGCCACCTTGAAGTAGTCCCCCTTGGCTAAATCTGAGACAACCTGAATATTACAATAAAAAGTGATAGTAGGATTCTAGCCTACTGAATACAGAATGATTTCTGAGTCCATATTGATACAGATAGCCTGGATCTCTTATTACTCATATACTTCCATCATTTCTTCCACATTTATTAGTTGGCTTTCAACTGTAAGGATGAACTTTTCCTTTTCCCCTATATTTGTTGTTCATTAAAAAATAGACAGTAAAGTATTCAGGGGAAAAGGGCTTATCTGTAACTTGCTCTTATAACAGTTCAGAAAAAAAATCACACACAGAAACACAAAGAGAAAAAGGAGAAAGCAAACATAGTAAGATTTTAATATTTGGAGAATGTGAGGAAGAGATTTAGGATTTCTCTGAACTATTCTTACAACTTTTCTGTAAGTCTGAAATTATGTTAAAATAAAAAATTTAAGAAAAAGCTATATGTACGAAGGTGTTCATTATAGCATTATTTATAACAGTGAAAACTTCATTCATTTAATAATTACTGGGTATCTTACACTCTACGTAGTGTGCTGGACACGAGGAATACAATAGCGAACAAGCAAGACCAGTTACGTGGCTTAGAGATTGAGAGGTTTCCTGGGATGTAATATTTGCAGGGCTCAAACTGGAAGAGTTGGTCACCCTCGGTTGAACTTAACCATGATGGTAACATATGGAAATGGTTATGAAATTACAGTACAACCATTTGATATAAGGGCAAGAGTAGAAAAGTAAAAACTATAATAACAGAGGAAGATACTTATTATTAGATGTTAAGCTAAAAATAAAGGATACAGTAAAAATACTATTAGAATTGTACATCTATGTACATATAGAAACAGATATAAAGACAAAATAAAAATAGTACTCATGGTGATTGTGTCTTTCCTATTTGAATTTTCTGTTAAATATTTTAATGATTAAAGAAAAATTTCATTCCAAAAGTTACTAACATTTCATAAAACTGTCACAATTAGATCTAAATAAATGGGCCAAGTAATTGAGTTTAAGAAAATCTGACTAGGCAGTTAAGATCACCAAAAAATAAAAAAAAATTTTAGCTAGTTTTGGCATGTATATCTTCTTAAAATTACCTTCTGCCTCAGATTTGTGCCATTTTTTAAGAAATCTGCAAAGCTATTGCTCTTAATGCCTGAACCATTAGGAATTTTTTTTTGGGCAAAAGATGGGTATCTTTAAACCTAATGTAATATGACTTATGATTTGTTTGGAAGGTAAAGTACACAATTTACCAGCCAGTGGCAGTCAGGGTAGACAGTAAGTTCCTCAAAGACAGGAATTTCATGTTCCGGGTGCCCAACACAGCGGCAACCAATCACCAACAGTTTGCTTTTTAAGCTGAGGTGCTGAATACACTCTTGAACAGAGGTTTTTAATTTGCTTCTAAGGCATCCAGAAATGGCAAGGCTTGGTAAGGTGGGGACTGATGAGGTTTGTGATTTATAAACCTCCTTGTAATCTTACTAAAAATTGTGGGTAAGTCTACTTTGTGAGGGGAAAAGTTTATAGCCGTCACCAAAGTTTCAAAGAGGTCAAAGACCCAAAAGAGGTCAAAAGTACTGTTCTGAATAAACAATGTTATGAAATTTTCTAATGACTTAGAAATTTAATAACTACATAAAGCCATTTATTCAATTTTTATATCATGGTTAGGTCACTTAAAATATGAGTGAAAAAAACCAAATTCCCCAACTCTAGGTTAAATTTAAGCTTGAATATGAAAGATCACAAATCTATCCAATGATTTACTAGCATATATCAACCTGGTGAATAATTACAGAATGTCTTCTGCTTTATGTATCACTAGATAACTTCTGATGACAACACTAATTTATTTTAGATGTATTTGGAAAATGTGCCATGTAAAGAGAAAACATTTATTTATTCATTTTATTATGAACGTGCCAAGCACTGATATTTCAAAAGGAATATTCAGATCTTTTGAGAAGCACAAGGTCTACTGGAAAAGAGAGAAGTATAAAATATAATTGTTTATAATATAGGCAGGTGAAAACAAATAGTTTCCTGAAGAAGCTAAAGAGTATATCCAAGAAGAATTGATATCTAAGCTGGAATAGTTTCATCACTAACAGAAAGAAGTGGAGGCTGGGATGGACAACATTTTACGCTATGGGCATGTTTACAAAGGTAGTAGGAATCCTCTTGTGTATTGAGGATGGGATGTAGAAAAGACTAGTGAAAGATAAGGTCCAGGCTGGATATAGTCTATGAATTCATGATACATTTGGACGTTTTCCTGACTGCAAAAAGCTGCAGCTATTAAATGTTTTTAAGGAGAGGAGGAGTTAATTGAAAAAAACTAACTCTGGGACTTCCCTGGTGGTCCAGTGGTTAAGACTCCATGCTGCTACTGCAGGGGTTGTGAGTTCAATCCCTGGATAGGGAACTAAAATCCTGCATGCCATGCAGTGTGGCCAAAAAAAAAAAAAAATAGTAACTCAGGAAGCAATGCAGAAGACAGACTAATGTGAGAAAGAAAAAAGATAAGAAAATCTTTATGTGAAAGTATTCTTTCTGGAAAAATGTATTATGACTGATTTCTTTTTAGAGTTCAGGTGTTCATATATAACTTTTTTTAAAAAAGCAATACATATTTTTAGTTAAAACCTTAATTTACAATTTAATGGCAGATTCTCATAGAAACTTAGCATGGGCCTATCATTTGCCTAACAGCTGCACCACCTGGCTGCTGCTTACCTGTAACAGAGAGATTAGTTACCGCAGCACTGGTTAAAGGAAGGACTGGATTGACTGTGAGGGTAGTTGCTGCGCTGCTTGTCACAAGGCTTGGCGTGGTTGCCACCTAGAGGTCAGAAGTGAAAATATGCAGAAGCATTTAAAAATCAAAATTTAAAAATTTAAGTCCATATTGTAATTTATTTTTCCTATAAAATTTTTAAAATTCCAGATACAATAGAATAAAATAAAAGGGCCTAAAAAGAAGTGATTTTATTAATTACTCTTTGATCCTGGAATTGAGAAAACTGACTTATGTTGAAAGGTTCCTTTTGAATAGATGTTTTTTCACTGATGTTACTAATGGCTTTGCCCAAGTTTTAAAAAGAAATTAATAAAAACAAATTTCCGTATTTCAATAGTGTTGAGCAAGACAGAAATATTATACCAGTTATAAACTTAATCTAAACAAGAAAACTATCCAAGGAGATCATGGGATCTGGGGTTCTTGTTTTGCTTCTATTTTCAACTATGTGGGGAGAAGACTGTCTCGGTTTTGTTTTTAATGAAATGATATTAAGGAAAGAATGTAAAACAAATTTTAAAAAACTGACAGTTTCTTTTTGAAATAAGATAAATACTTCTACATTTTTGTAAGAAACACTGCCTTCCTTCTATCCTTCCCTCCTTCTAGAATAAATCCAAAACACAAAATAATCACCAACATAAAACAAAACTGTACCTAATGACTATCTTTTTCATAACTACTATCTCGTGAACTTTATGATTAAAGCCTCACCATTTAACAACCACAGGCTTCACTTAATAAACTAGTAAGTGCTATTAATGATGACCTTAGTTTGAAAAGCCTGCTGGTATAGAATAATATTCAAATAAATTAAAAATCAATTAACAAGAAAGTATCAGAAATGCAAACTCAACAATATTCCCATCTTTGGAATCCTGGTTGGAAATGTGGCATCATATTTACAGTTGTCCTAAAGATCAAGGGAGTCACATGACCACTATATGTCCCTTCAGTCTAGGAATACTATTCTAATGTTAACAGCAGAGGTTACTCAGTGAGGTTATAAATAAAAGGCCCACGTTTGTGAAAATCTGAGACAATTGTTTTAATACAAGTTCAGAGCTAAAGGTTATCTGGGAATTTACTGTCACTTAATCATGTGTGTGTAAGTTTAATAAATTGAGCTTTAGAACCCAACATGAATAAAGTGCAACTAAAGATTTTTTTAGGTAACTGGAATTAGCCGCAAATTTACTTCCAGTTACAGAGTAACCTAATAAACTACATCAGAGAAGGGAATAATGGAACTTGCAGAGAAACAGGAAAGGATTAAAACTGTTTGCTTTAAAAAAGAAAGATCAGTAAGTTCTTGGGTTAATAATGACAAGACATTTAATTACTTTTGTAACATTTAAAATATAAATTTATATATCTTTATTCAACATGAATATATACAATAAATTTCTATAATGAAATAAATTCATTTGATAGGGTATTTGTAAAATTGTAAAAATTAACCCTTGAGCATGCCTCCCTATTTTTCATCCTTACCAGTGAGGTCGGGCTGGGGAAAATTGCTTTGATAGGTGAGCTGCTGGTCCCACCACTGCTCGGTGGGTTGATTCTTTTTTCTTTCTGGCGGCGGTTACAAAACCAAACACGTATCACCTCCTTTTCCATATTAAGTTGATCAGCAATCATGGTGATCTCTTCCGAGGTAGGCTTTTGATTCTGAAGAGGGGAAAAAAAAAATCACCTTTTGGAAAAACTTTTTGAACTACTGACATAACCATGTCATTAAATGAATAAACAAATGGGGAGGAGGAACAATAAGAGAATGAAACTGGAATATACAAGGCCATATTATTCCACTTTTAACAAAGAACTTCTATAGACGGACATTCTAATGAACATGTATTTAAATTCAGTCATATTAACTTAGAATAAGTTATTCTTGAATATTTATATATTTTTTATTTTAAGGGCAATTAATCATGAATGAAACCAATACCTTACTTATTAGTGGAAATTTAAGAACTTCCCCAGTGCTTCATGCACATAATCTCACTTGGACAATGTGAGGCAGGCCATAAGCCTGTGGGGCAGGAAAGGCAGTTATTTTACAGATAAAGGGACTTCAGCTTAGGAAACCACGTAACTTGACTAATCACACAGTTCATAAGTGGCAGAGCAGATAAAGACTCCTGTTTCAGTGCTCCTTCCATGGTGCTCAAGGCTTTTCTGAATTAGAGAAGTCAAAATTTTGTTGGAAGCTTTGATTGTGATATTCCCTGGTACCAGAAAAACAAACAAACAAAAAAAACCACACCAAAGACCTGCTGAAATAACCTGAACTCTATAGCTCATCAAGGCCTTCAGTGTTCTGGTTCCAAACACTACAGTTTAGCCAAACCAAACTACTTGTGTTTCCCCGATACATGTCATGGCTTTTCTCTCTGGATGCCTCTGCTTGAAGCGCTTTCCCCCCACCTCTCCCTACCTGTGGAATTCCTATGTATCCTACAGCTGCTGCCTGCCTCTCTCACTTTGAGTGATCATATGGATCTCTAAGCCTGGTCTCTCCTGAACCCTGAAGCACTCTGGTTTTGTCTCCTTATGTTCCGTAACTTACTTGGTCTCATTGTCTCCAATATGTTTATAAGCATCCATTAGGGCTGAAGCTTATAAGTCCATATTTTATGGTCTATGGCAGCGGTCCCCAAACTTTATGGCACCAGGGACCAGTTTCATGGAAGACAATCTCTCCACGGACGGGGGTGGAGGGTGGGTGTGTGTGTGTGTGTGTGTGTGTGTGTGTGTGTGTGTGGATGGCTCAGGTGGTGATACAAAAGATGGGGAGCAGCAGGTGAAGCTTTGCTCACTCGACCGACACTCACCTCCTGCTGTGCTGTGCGGTCCGGTTCCTAACAAGGAACCAGGGACCTCTGGGGACCCCTGGTCTACGGCACTTAACAATAGTATTATATAGACAATCCCAAGTATATGAAAAGTAAAAACCTCACTAACCTCCAAGAAACTCTTCTCTAAGGCCACACGGATGTTGGTCTCTATGCTGGTGCGTTTCTTCCTCCTACGGTTCAAGCCCTCAATTCCCATCCCTGGAGAATTCAGGGCACTTGGGCTGGAGAGAGCCGAATCAGATGAGAGGTTCTCTGTAAGAAAGAAGAAAACACGTAAATCAAATCAGCTGAGCATGATTCATGCACACAATACACGTATTAACAACAACAATAAAACTGACCAAAGTATTTTAGGCTAAAAGCAAGTATGAAAGGTTTTCATAACCTACATTAAAATATTGTTCACTACCATGGATCTTTCTGCTGTTCTTATTGGCATTCTTTGTCTCAAGATGGTTGACCATACTGTCATTGCTATTCTTTGATTTGTTTCTGAGAAAGCAGAAGTTTACTATTCCTATCCTTACTCTCAGCTCTACCTCTTCTGAGTTCTGCTCTTATGTTTTGTTTTTGTTTGCTTATTTATTTATTAGCTCTAGGGATAAAAGGAAGAAAGCTTTTTGGAAATTATCAAATGTTTAACATTTATCTTGCAAATGACCTCTCATTTTATTTCACTGGTATTCCTCCCCTTCCCCCCCAAACCAAACAAATAATGAAACATTTCTAAACTATTTAAAGTTTAAACAAGGTTCTGTCATTTAACAGTTTAAAGACCCTGAGCATGTCACAGACATCTCTGAGTTTCTTTCCACTCTCTATATAAAATGAGATGGAGGGGGCAACCAGTGGTTCTCACCTGTGGAACTCAGAAAGATTCCAGATGCTGAGGCCATACCCAGAACTACGAAATCAGACTGTCCAAGGTTGGGGGTTACAGGTTTGTCTTTTCCAAAGACCTGAATTTTGTTCACATCTACAATGAGAACCATAGTCTAGGGGATCTCTAGGGTTTCTTACAGCTCTCATAGTCTATGATTCCGTGACTCAAAATTCAAAATTTCCAAAGGGAAACTTCAGCACAAAACACATTAAGTTAAAACTAACAGCTCAATTTATGTATAAAATTGGTGGTCACTTTTTTAAAATTGAAGTATAGTTGACTTACAATATTGTGTTAGTTTCAGGTATACTGCAAAGTGATTCAGTTACATATATTTTTTCAGATTATATTCCATTATAGGCTATTATAAGATATTGAATATAACTCCCTGTGTAATACAGCAGATCCTTGTTGCTTATCTATTTTATGTATACTAGTAGTTTGCATTTATTAAACTCATACTCCTAATATGTCCCTCCCTCCCTCTCCCATTTTGGTAACGGTTAAGTTTGTTTTCTATGTCTGAGTCTGTTTCTAAATGTATGTAGCCTCTTTTAGATTCCACATATAAGTGATATCATATAGTATTTGTCTTTGACTTACTCACTAAATTTAATATTCTCTAGGTCCCCTCTTCAACTTCCTTCAACTGTCTCTCACCCTGGGCTCAAATACAAGAAATATTCCAAAGCTAAAAATCATTGCTGATTATGTACCTTGTAATTACTAGCCTACTTAAATGAATTAGCTCTCTGATTTATGTAGTCATAATTTATATTGATCCTCCAAAGATTGTGAGCTTCAAGGTTCTCTAGTACCAATAATGTAATAAGAAATATAAACCCCAATTAATACAACAATCCCTCCTATACAATTTCAATGAACAATGAGGAAATGTTTTACACATTCACCCACCTGCATCATTTAGCCACTTCTCCAAAAGTGGCTTTAACTTGCACATGTTCTTAAAGCTGAGGTTCAAGGCTTCAAAACGAGAGATGGTAGTTTGGCTGAAGTCATTTCCATACAGTTTACCCATCGCGAGCCCAACATCGCCCTGCAGAGTAATACAGAAGAGGAGAGGGGAGAGAAAGAGAGGGAGAAAAGATTCATCTAATGTTATGGTCTTCACTCGAGGGTGCTGCTCCAATAACTGTTCTAGACAAAGAATCAACAATCATTTCATTTGCTGGGTCCTACAAAAACATCCATTCCTAAGCTGAGCACAGTATTCCAGTGAGGACTCTGTTAGTTACGTCTTGACTGTGACAACATTCAAAACTGTTCCATATTCTCTCCATCTTGAATCTCTTCTTGCTACCTTATGTAATAACTGAGATGTCAAGTGTTTCTACTAACTCTCAAAAGGTAGTGCTGACATTCTACCAAGTCCCTTAATTGATGCAACCAAAGTGATCTAAGTAATCTTTAAAAATCAGTTAACCTGTATCACCTACAGGGTTAATAGATGTAACTGTCTGGATAACCTTAGGTATTTCTGAACTAACCAAACTTCCCATAAATCACTTTAAAATTTAGAAATAATGCCTCATTCTTTTATTTTTTTCCTGTAAAGCATTTCTGGAAGCAGTGAAAAAAATCTCCTTTCCACCCTTAGTTTGGATTTCAAAGTTTGTTACAAAAACCAGGTATTCTAAAAAGACTACTTTTGTAACCATTATAGAGATAGAAATTCACAGTAGAGAGGTTTGACCCATTTAGTCAAACCTTTATGGGCACTGGAAACTTGGCAACCTTACAGCAATAGAACAATGATCCCCTGAATATATTACAAAAAATATCTTTCTCTATAAGCCTATAACCTTTGAAATGTATAGAGTGCTTTTCCTCCAGCTGAATCTCTCTTGTTAAAGCTGAAAAAGGCATATCTGAATAGTTATTGTATATATAGATAATAGAAGCTCATGGGGTGGAAATAATTCACGCTCTCATTTCAGTTAGTTCAGTGACAGCGCAGAAAAGCAACATTTCTGGTCCAAAATACGACATAGCTAATTCCACTAGAGACAGCCAACTCCCAACTATCCTGACAACACTCATTTTGAATTAGGATTATCCCAGTCCTTTGATTTCTCTCCCCTACAATCATCTTTTGGATAGTACATTGTTTATTAGCACCTGCATTAGGGGTTAGTCAGGGAAAAGAAAACATTTCTTTTTAAACTCCAGTTTCTTACTGGTGAGCAACTTCTGATAAAAAGTTTAATAGAGGAGAAATGTTAGAACTGTAAGATAAAATGAGACATTGAGAATACCTGAACTCCAACTGATCTATATTCTAATCTTTCCCATAGGATAGATGGGCATTTAAATAACCACCAGCCACATGTGGTTACTTAAATTTAAATTAATTCAAAATCAGATAAATTAAAAATTTAGTTCCTTAGCACTACTAGCCACCTTTCAAGTACTCAATAGCCACATGTGGATAGTGGCTATTGTACTGGATGGCACAAATACAGAACATTTCCATCATCACAGAAAGTTTTACTGACAGCTCTAAATATACTATCTCACAGAAGTAGAGCAAAAGTAGACTGCTTATTGATTTTCTTCCAATTGTAGTAAAACCCAAAGAACCAGGACAGTGTGAGCAGAGCATAAGTGTTATCCATTATCTCTACATACAAATATATCTATAAATATATTTATAGATTTTACCTACAGCGTTATCTCTATACATTTATTAAAGCTTACTTCATTTAGTGAACAAATATTCACTAGGTGCCTACTACATGTCAGGCATTAAACTATGCTTTGTGTGTCACATATATTCATGTCTTGGTCACTGTATTTGTTTAGATTATAGCTTCCTAGAAAACTAAGGCCAACTAAACCCTGGAACTCTTTGAATGTAAGACCTGCTGTAGAAGTCAGATGGTAATAAATGTTTTAACATTATAATTCACTAAAAATTTTTCACAAACTTCTGTAGTACCTTTCTATGAAAAGCAACAATAATGACAATTTAAAAAAATGAAATACCTATTCAAAAATCACATCGAAATAAGAAACAATGCCTTCAGTTGGTGGCTGGAAATAAAGCTATGCCATCAACTAACTAAAACTATGGCAATAAATGACAAATCCACTTAACTGAGATTTATAATACAATTGTACTTCACATTTAAAGGATTTCATTGACTAAAAAGCAACAGGTACCTCAGTTAATATACTAATTTTCACTAATTTGGTATAAGCTTGGTTTAGTGCTTTTGTAACTCACAACCATCTTAGGTTCCCCCCCTCACAAAAGTAAATGTTTGAAGCAGTTGACTCATACCTAATCTGAACTACATTATATCCCTAATCTGAACTATACTGTATCTGAACTATATTACATGTATATATTTTAAAAAGCAAAGGAAAAAAGGAACAAAGACTGGGATTAGGATATAATAAATGTATCACATGTGATGGATGGTGTTAGACTATGGCATGCCTTCTAATTATGTAATGACATCTACAGTAATCCTTAATAACCAATTATAAAGTTAGAAAACAACTACTGTTTAAAACACCTAATAACATGTATATTTACTCAGAGAATAGAGATTTGTTTGTTTGTTTCAACTAATGACTGGAATGTCTAACTTACCCTTTGTGTGTGTGTATAAATAAATTAGATACAAAGCAATGTTTAAAAAACTATAGTTGAGGTATCTGACTTAAGAACAAAGGTTGATCTTCCCATTCTGCACCAGTAATTATGTGCTTTAGTCCACACAGTCAAGGTCTGTGAAATGTTGCCACTGCTAAAGTCAAAGTCATTTTGAAAAATAAGGAAGAGCTGTGCCAAATAATAGAATAAAACCATACAGCAGAACACCAGACCATAGGGAAGCTCTTTTATAGAAAGAGGAGAGAGAGAGAGAGAGAAAGAGCAACAACCCTGGCAGTATGTTGGGTCAAATGCCACAAAAAGGCAAACCACTATCTGTGTAAAAGTTAAAGATTTTTAAAGGCCTTAACATCCCTGGCATATCACTCAGGCAACAATCTCCTAGGAAACGTAAGAGTATGCTGTGCTAATAGCCTAAGAGCTGAAGCATTGCTAAACATGCCAACCTTATACTTATTTAAGCTTATTAATTTACCCCTATCGATCTAGTTGTATCTTTTAGCTTTCTTTTTTGAAAACAAGCCACACGGTTTAAAGAATACTAAAATCTTTCTGAATTGTAATTTGTTTCTTCACAACTGAGACTCCTCACAAATATAAGTGCATTTTCTCTAAAATTACATCTATTAAAAAAAAATTTTATGTTCTCAATAAATAGTTTCTCTGAGCAAAAATAAATTACCAAAGAAATATAAGGAATAAAAGCCTGTTCTTAAAAACACAGGGATGTCATTTTGGAGGAGCCCAGTGACCGCACTAGGCTCACTAGTGAGTAGGTGGCACACTACTGTACTTTCAACATAAAATAATTTGGATAGTATTTAAGTGGTGGCTTAAATTTCAAACAGTAATTATATTCTCTGGGGAAAAACCATCATGTTTCTCCTGATTCCATTAAAATGCCCAATCCAATCTATACTTCAGTAATTTTATTTCACCTAATGATCCTATATCATTTTACATAAATGTCATTCAGTTTAATTCTTTTCCTGCTTTAAAAAGTATTACTTGTGACAGGTTAATTAAAGAGTGAGTCAGTAGGAGTGCTTGGGAAAAAACCCATATACCCCAACACCTGTTTAAACCATGAAGCTTATTATACTTTAAAAGCCCTCTGCTAGGTGACATTTTAAAAGATTAATTTGGAATTTTCATCTTCAACAGATTCCCATTTGATTAATCAGTCTCAGTTCGGGCTTAGTGTGTGTGAGTGTGTGTGTGTGTCCCCACCACCCCTTTCTCTCTTCCAAAAAATGGTTTTAAACAAGTCTTTCAAACATTTCCCCTTTCAGCTACTATAAAAGACCTTGTAATCTTTACTCCTCTCAATCTTACACATATGTAGCACGAAGGTCTAGAACCAGATGTTTTTCAAATAACAAAGCCCTCAGTATACTTGTATCATCCTCCAACATAATCTTTTAAATTCTCACCATGTATTGGTATTATTCTAATTTCAGAGGCCTGTGTTCTGAGAGAAATCTTAACCATTTTAACCTAACAGTAAATTATAAATTTATAAATGAATACATATGATGAAAGTCTAAACTTATAAATGCAGAAAATGGCTAACAACAAGTTACAGTCTAAAACTGAAAAAGAAGGCTGAGAAATATATTGTTCCTTAGAAGTCTCTTTGGACATGGAAAGCAAATATTTGGACCCAGCCAAGGAGGGAAACCTAAGTTAAAGGTGGGTTCATCTTACCTGAGTGAATCCAAGTTTGATTCGTCTTTGTTTGAAGGTCTTGGCAAATTGCTCAAGCTCCTCAAGGTCACTGGGCTCCTCCAAGCTGGGAGTATCAATTCGCTTTGGTGTTGACTGGCTCTGTGGAAGTGTCTGAATTGGGGTTGCTGCTATTGTGCGTGTTGGGGTGGCTGGCTGCTAGAGAAGGAACAAAAGAATAAGAACAAACATACACCAAGATATTTAAGTTTATATCTGGAATGGCTGCAAGTAAACAATTTAAGGAAACGGCTGTATTCAAGAACTATGAAGACCATGTGTCACTGTAGAAGGTACAACATAATACCCAGTGAGAAAAGCAGAGTGTGATGCTATATACACTACAATTATAGTTAGGGTTAAACATGTAAGTCTATGGAAAAGACCTGAATACACAAAAATGAAATCCATTGTCTTTGGGTTTTCAAATGGTTTGAATACATGCATCTCATGCCATTTAATAAATCAGTCTTTATTTTTAAGAATCTATGTCATAAACATGCCACTTAAACTATAAGTTTCAAAACAGCAGAGATCATACCTGTCTTATCACTATCATATCTCCAACTTGTAACACAATATTATAAAAAACATATAAGATTATTAAAACTGTTTTAAGGGGGAAAAGTAAATCACCTACAGTTTAAATAACAATAGCTTCACTGCTGTCTACTTGTTCAAGTTTTCATCCATAGAGCTACATTTTTTGTGCTGTTTTTAATTTGTTGCACTAAATTTAATCTGTAAATGTTTCTCACAAATTACAATTTTCAAATCTCTACTGACAAGGCATACATCCTACAGATCAGGGTAATTTAAAAAATATGATTAATACATTGGAATGGACCATAGGGCATAAAATCGAAGAGTAAACTTTTTTTAATTTAATTGAGGTATGACTGACATAAAAAAAGTTGTACACATATAATGTATACATCTTGATGAGTTTGAAGATAAGTAAACACCCATGAATATATACCATCACCATATACAATGCCCTAAATTTATCCATTACCCCTAGAAGTTTTCATCCTCCCTCAGATCTACATTCTTAACCTTAACTGTAATTATGGTAACATAATTTTATACTCTGCTTTTCTCACTTAACATTATGTTTTAATTTTTTTCCCTATGTTGTTTCAATCATCGTAATTGTCATTTTCAAAGGCTGACTGAAAGGCAGTATTATCATAATTTATTTAACAATTTCTTCATTGCTAGGCACCTTTTCGTTTGTTTTCACTAACAGGTAACACCACAATGAAAAACTCTGTGCATACAGTTCTTTTTTCCACCTTTGTAATTAGTTCTTTGAGATAAATTTACAAAGGATTTTCTATAACTGGATGAAGAGTACACCACAAACAATTTCATGGCTTTTGGTACACATCATACATAATGCTGGTTCTCACTACACCATGTTCTCCACATGATTTGTTTTAGCAGTTTTAAAAAATGTTTTGCTAACTCAGGGAGTAAACTGTACTTTGCTGTTTCCTTAATTCATATTTCTCTTATTACTTAAAGCCAAATTTTCCCCACATGTTAATTATTATCTGTATTTCGTTTCATGTGAATTGAACTTACATCTGTAACCCATTTGTATATTAATGATATCCTTATTCTCACCCTTATCCTTAAAGAGCTCAATCAAATGTTATAGATAAAGCCTTTGTCTGTTGTATTAATACAAGTAATTTTCCCAATCTGCTTTTATCCTTTTATTTTTCAGTGTACATAAGTCTTAAATTATAATTTGGGTGAACTTTTGTTTTTTTCCTTTCTAATATCTTGTTGCTTCAAATCTGAGAAAGCTTTCACTTATTTCTAACTTGGATAAAATTCCTTTTAATATTCTGCTAGCTTCTTCTATGTCTTGTAAAATAGTTAATTATTGAAATCCATCTAAAGTTTATTTGCGGACATGAGGGTATAATCTTTTTTTTGTTGTTTAAAGAAAATATTAAATCTCCTTATTACACAAACACAAGGCTACACTGTTTTACTCACAGCCCCTGAGTAGGACCCACACTTCTGAGTATTCACTACTGGAACGTGCTGCCCTGACTCTGCATCATAACTGCTCAGTTAACCCTTCCTGTGAACAGAAGCCCAGGTGAGAGATTATAGGACAAGATTACAGATGAAGTCCATGGCTATGTGCTTTTTTCTTGTAATTTAAATGGGTCATATACCCCTAACTCTGACCTCATTAGTAATATGCTTTCTCCCACTGAACTAACTGGCCCTGAAAACTGCACAAGAGGAATTACACAGGCCTACACCTGGGTAAGTTCCTCTCTATCATCCTGCTTCAATGAAGACAACAAAATTTATCTCTCTGGCATGCTGACTCTGAGAAAACTTTAATATGACCATCTGGAGGAGCCCAAAACTGTACCAACCATATTAGAGTCCTATGTGGCTGTAACTTCCCACTGAAACTGGTTGATAAGTAGAGGTGAGTCTTAACTATCAATCAGATGGCTGCTTCATTTCTAGGCTTGAAGGAGCCCCGTTCTCAAATAACATAGGACTAAAAATAGCTTGGGTATCTTTTGGTGGGGTGGTTACACATAAGTTACCCCAACTCCAGAAACCTCAGGCTGGACTGGGCCAGAGCTAGAAATAGTAGAGTAAAATTCAGTGAGCAGGAGTCCGGATGAAGCTACAACAGCCCTGCCACTGTTTACAAAGCTCGTAGGCCAGGAAGGAATTGCTGGTATAGGCTTTTTTCCAACCTCATTTTTATAATTCAGCTTATTCACAGTTAAGTGCACCATTTAAAAGTGTACAGTTTGATGTGTTTTGACAACTATATAGTCATATAACTGCTATCACAATTAAGATGCAGAAAATTTCCATCACCCCCAAAAGTTTCCCTGTGTCCTTTGCTGTCAATCCCCACCCCTAGCCCCCATCCCCTGGCAACGACTGATATGATTTCTGTCCCTATAGTTTTGTCTGCTGTAAAATGCCATATAAATTGAATCATAGAGTATACAGTCTTTTATGTTTGGCTTCTTTCACTTAGCATAATGCTTCTGAAATTCATACATGACGTTGAATGTATCAGAATTACATTTCCTTCTATGGCTGAGTAGCATTCCATCATATAGATATGCCAAAATTCAGGTTATCTATTCAGCAGCTGATGAATGTTTAGGCTGTTTCCACTTTGGGGTGATTACGAATAAAACTGCTATGAACAGTCAGTCATACACACGTCTCTGTGTGGACAAATGCATTCATTTCTAAGGGTAGAACTGCTGAGTCATAAGGTACATGTATATTTAACTTTATAAGAAACTGCCAAGATGTTTTCCAAAGTGTCTGTACCAATTTGCAACCCCACAGACAATATATATGAGCTGCAGTTGCTTTATATTCTCATCAACACTTGGTATTATTATAGTCTTTTTAATTTTGCCCATTCTAATGGGTGTGTAGTGATATTTCTTTTGCATTTTCCTGATGACTAATAATTTTGAGCATCTTTTCATATGCTTATTGTGTATTTACGTGCCTTCTTTGGTGAATTACCTTCAAATATTTTTCATACACTCCCTTTTAAAAAAAACCACGTTGTCTTATTGAATTGTATGAGTTCTTTATATATTCTGGATACAAGTCTTTTATTCGATATAAGTTTCAAGAATATTTTCTTCTAGTCTGTGGCTTTTCTTTTTCTTTTTTCAAGAGAAGCTTTTAATTTTTTTTTTTTTTTTTTTTTTTTGCTGTACGCGGGCCTCTCACTGTTGTGGCCTCTCCCGTTGCGGAGCACAGGCTCTGGACGCGCAGGCTCAGCGGCCATGACTCACGGGCCCAGCCGCTCCACAGCATGTGGGATCTTCCTGGAGCGGGGCACGAACCCGCGTCCCTTGTATCGGCAGGCAGACTCTCAACCACTGCGCCACCAGGGAAGCCCAGAAGCTTTTAATTTTTATGAAATTAAATTTATCATTTGTTTTCTTTTACAGTTAGCGCTTTTTGTGTCCCACTTAAGAAATCACTATCTTACACTAGGATACAAAGATTTTCCCTTAAGTTTTCTTCTAGAAGTTTAGGTCTGCAACCCTTTTCAAATTAATCTTTGTGTATCATTGTGAAATAAGGTTCATTTTTTTTTTTTTTTGCCTATGGCTAGCAAATTGTTTCAGCACCTGAAACAAGACTTTCCTTTTCCCACTGAAATCCTTGGTGGGAAATCAGTTGGCTCTATGTGTGTGAGTGTACTGGACTTCTGTTCCATTTCTATTCATATGCCATTACCACACCATCTTTATTACTGTATTTTACAATAATTCTTGACATCAACTTTCTTAATTTTCAAAATTGTTTGGCTATTCTATGTCCTCTACAATCCTGTACAAATGTTAGAAACACCATGCAAACTTCTACAAAGAAAGCCTGTAGATATTAACTGGGACTGTGTTGAATTTATACATCAGTTTGGAGAGAACTCACATTTTAACAACCAAAGTCTTCATGAACATATTATATCTCTCCATTTATTTAGGTCTTCTTCAATTTCACTCAGCAAGATTTTGTAGTTTTCAATATACAGGTTTTACAAATGTTCTGTTAAATTTATCCCTAATTACTGTAAATATTTTTCTTCTTAATTTAAATTTCCAAATGATTGTTGTTAGTATATAGATTTTTGTATATTGACTTTGTATCCTACATACTTGCTAAACTCAATTATTAATTCCAGCAACTTTTTTGTAGATTCTTTGGATTTGGATTCCTTGGATTTGGATTTTCTACATAGACAATCATGTCATCTACCAATTAAGACACTTTACTTCTTCCTTTCTAATCTATATGTCCTTTATTTATTTTTCTTGTCTTATTGCCTTGCTAGGACCTTCAGTGCAATGCTGAATAAAAGTGGTAACAGTGGACATCCTTGTTCCTGATCTTAGAGAGAAAGTATTCAGTCTTTATGATGTTTTTTTTTGTAGATGCCTTTTAGCAGGCTGGGAAAGTTACCTCTTAATTCCTAGAAGAGTTGTTATCATAAACAGTTGTTGAATTTTGTCAAATCTAGTAATTTGTTAGTATTAACCGATAACTTCCACGATTATGGACAAAGAGAATCAGAGATGGAAGGGGAATTCAGGATCAGCTAGTTCAATCACCTAATTTACCTATGAGGAAACAGAGGTGCAGAGAGGTGAAATGACACGCTCAAAGTCACAGCTAGGAAAGAAACAGAACTAGATCTAAAGCTTAAACCTCTAGATGCCTAGACCAGCCTAGACCCTCTAGATGCTTAAACTCTGGTAAAAATTAGCTAAAGCAACATCTAAAAGTTGAGATGGAATAAAACACAGAGGTAAGAGCTTCTTTGCAGTTTCTGAGAAGGAGCAAAGGGCAATGATGGGTTTTTAACTCAGGCTCTAGGTCTAGCTCAAGTGGTAATCTCTACTGCCAAAAATCAGGGTGGGGAGGGTGGTCAGACAGCCAGAACTCATTACTCATTTGGTGCTAACACAGTTATTCTTTATGAAAATATAAGAAAATAGGGACTCCTTGAAGATTTTCAAAGACTACATCAATTTGGTAGCACTGCTTTATCAAGCTGATAAGCCTAGCTTTGAAATTTTGGTGAGTTTTTGAAAACTATTTGAATTATTTTTATTAAGGGGTTGTGGTTTTAAGTTAAACAAATCCCCAAAGACTCTCAAGACAACAGGATAAAAGAAAGCAACCCTCATGGAAGAAAACCGACCTGGGAGGTGAGGGTGATGCTTGGCTGCGACTGTAGGAGGTTGGCTTGGCTTTGCTGAGGTAGTTGCGTTAAAAGATTTTGCGCTTGCAGGAGACCTGTAAAACACAAACATGTTATGTCAAACATTAAAGATTACCTTGAACAAATGGCAAAAGAAAAAATGAGAAAGTGAAGTGAAAATTTCCAACGGATCCCCTGATAGTCTTACTGGTCTTAAAACTCTTAATGTCTTATTTGCCTAAAATTCAGTCTTGTTAAATACAATTTGGGCAAGAAGATATGGAACCAACTAAAACTGGTGGATGTCTTTAGCGTAACCTGAATAACCTCTCTGATTGGCCAATTCTTTATTTTACCAAGGAATGGATGAAAGTGAAGAAGCATTCTAAATGGAAGCAGCTTGAAACTCCAAAAAAAAAAAAAAAGCTCAACTTCTTAACCCAGAAGCCATTAGAAACAGCTAGTATATGCTGGGACAGAGAACTATCTAGTTCATTAAAGGGGCAGGCTATCCTATCCATTAAAAGTGGAATAGGTTATTTATACAACAAAAGATTTTGAAATGAATGATCAAGAAGAAAAAAGGCTAAAAAACAGAAATAATGAGGAATCAGTAGAGATGCACTAATGTTCCTTGAGTTGAAGCCTTGATACTCTGATACCGTCTATACTGATTCCATTACAAACATGATTGAACTTTATACAGCAGTAACACAACAATATTCAGCACTAAAAGGCCTTGAAGATGTTTTTTATAACTCACAAAATTTGCACAATTTCTAACATGACACCCTCTCCTTCTTAAGCTTTAAAAGAAAACAAATGATTGTTAGAAGCGTATAGTTAGAATGCTCAGCCCATTCTTTGAACACATTCCCATGAAAAACTATCAAAACATAAAAGTAATTTATCCAATGTATGTTCAGCATGTTGAAGGATTTAATTTAGAATTTTGGCCAAACCCATGGTCCTCCTTACTGATTAAACAGATGAAAGGCAGTGAAGGATGACCTTCAATAATTAGGTATGCATGACAAAAAAAATATTTTTCTCAACATGAATACTGAGCTTAAAGTTAAATAAAATCTAATAAAAACACTGTTCTAATGGACAGCTTCTGGGCCAAAATGACAGTAGTCAGCATGTATGTCACACAAGTGGACAGCCTTGGTGTACCGTATCACTAATAAGCTCTAAGGAGGCACTCACCCTGCTGGCCCTGGGGCGTCTGTGAGATGATAAACTGCGCTGGTTGCAGGTTGGTGGTTGGATGTACCAACACAAACTGTTGCAGGTTGAGATTCTGCTGCTGAAGTTGTTGCAGTTGTTGCAGATCCTAAAAAATTAGGATTAAAACATGGATTGGAGACTCTGAAATAAAAGCTTGCTTAATCTTAAGGTTCCCAGATGATGAATTCTGCCATCCAAATAAAGAAGAGTCAATATTTGACATTCTTATAAACTCCCAACAAGGATGTGCTCTGGGTGCATTCACAAAGCTTGTGAAGAAACCTGGAGCTGCTACAAGGACCTGTTATTTCTGTGGGCATATATTGTGTCGTGACTTATGCTATATCTAATTCTCAACCGTTATTTAAAATTCCCTCAGAACAAATGCTTATGGTTGTGTTTTTAACATGTAGAGACCAATATGGGTTTTTCTCTCAAGTGAGAAAAGAATATGTTGAGTTTTTAAGTGTTTGATTAGAGTTTTCTCTTGTTAAGCAAAAATTGAGAGTGCTACGTCTGAACTTGCATCAATAAATTAAAAGATTTATAATGATTCATGAAATGTGGCACCAGCCTACCTAACTCAACTGAGAAATCAGTGTAAAAGTTTTTTTAAAAATAGCTATCCATATAAAAATCTGATCTACAACATATTAAACTTGCTTATATTGGCCTATTATTTTATAATTTTCAACATAATTTCATGTATATTATCTTATTAGAATAATGTCAACATAGAGTCTCACAGCTTAGGCACTAAAAACATTTATTTGGTGATGAAAAAAATGGCCAAAATAAAAACGTGATCTTGATAAAGATTGTATATAACAGTCATAAAGATTAGCCTGACATCTATTCTGTACACTTTTAGTTAATTGGTTTTTTTTAATGTTTAGTCAAACTCTAGCTACAATTTAAGTCTATTTCTGAGCCTTCTCTGGGGGGATAAAGATAATTATCTGCACTAGACTCATAATAACTCTTCATACATTTCACTGATATGACTACTTATACTTTTTTCCTCTCCTTGAGATAAAGGATTTCATTTACCTTTTTTCCTCCTTGGTAGAACTGTCTATGCCTCTTAAATAAATTTTTATTATCTCTGGATACTTTGCCCTAAAATACAAAAATTAAAGCCAAACAACACTCTAATGCAATTCTGCACAGAGCTAATCGCTCTAGCAGAAAGATGACGCGCAGTTTCTCTCACACATGGGTGGCAACATTCACTGCAGAGCACATGAAAGAACTCATGCCTGCTGTAATTAGCTAATTAAAATAAATACAGTAATCCCCTGCTTCAGAAATATGCCAGCCAATTATTCAAGAATTGTCACTTAATATAAACAGTTATTCAAATAATCAGTTATGTGTTTATAATATCAACTCAAATAAGCAAACAAATGTATTACTTCTAGTTCAGTGGTAAAGAAGGCTACACCACTTACCTCACACTAACAATCAGAAAGTAAGCTTAACACCAAAGAAATCCTGCCATTTTATTCCTCCCTTCCTGCCCCAGCTATGAGAGTTACTCACTCACCTGTGCGATCTGGATGGGCTGAGACAGGGGGATCTGAGTCATGGGCGTGGCGGCGGAGGCTGAGATGGTGGCCCCAGCAGCACTGTGCTGTTGGCTAGCGGAATGCTGTTGCACTGCAGCAGCCAGCAGCTGTGCCTGTGCCTGTGCCTGCTGTAGTAATAACTGTTGCTGGGCTGGCGTCAAAGTCAGCTAAACAAAATCAGGACAAACAGTCGGAAAGGGTTGAAGGAGACGAGCCTCTAACGCAAGGCCACTGCTTTGAAGTAAGCAACTCAAGTGGTATTAAACCTTAGCTACCCAACTTCACATGGTTAGCATGAGGCTAAAATAAAACGTTCATTAGCCATCAAGATACCAGGACTAGCAGACCATTTAAATTAAAATGGTGGTCCTCACTCTGGACTTAATCATTCAAGCTTGTCCAAGGCCCTAGGGTTCAGGCAAAAAAAGTAATTAACTAGTAAGCAAGAAAAAAAAGAATCAATGCTGACAGGATATGAAAAGAAATTTACACCCAACAGAACAGCAAGTGATTAGTCAGATGAATGAGGAACAAGGATGCTGGATCTGACCAGGAAAGAACTGATAAGGCCCAGCTGCTTCCCATTAGCATGAATCCCTGCCATATTCCATCATTTCATTATGTCCTAAGATATGACTAAAGAATATGAGGTCCATTTGTTTCTTTTCCAAGTCCCTACAGCCTCCTCCCCAACAGCCTTTTCTGTTATTGAAAGCATTGGGTCTCTGCAACTTTACATCCTCTTTCCAACACATTATCTCTGTGAAACAGGTGGTGACAGCCGCTCTCTTTACATGCAAATGAATCCTAATGCCCAAGTTTAATAGAAGCTCCAGCCATTCTGAACCTGGAATCCCAAGTGTCTTCAACTACTGTAAACACTAGTCACTCAAAACAAAACCCAAAGAAAACAGGAAATGTATTTGAAGATTTAAACTTGCTTTCATAATGCAACTTATTTCAAACATACTTAAAGTGATAAGTATGTTCTACCTTCTTTTTGGTGACATGTTCTGATCAAACCAAGAAGGAATATTCTGAAGCGCATGTACAGTCACTTAATGGCACAATCCTCTTTCAAAAAGGGTCTGATACAGTTTGTGCATTAGAGATATAAGAATCAAAATCAAATCATTCAAAAACCCAATACGCTTCAAAATACATGTTTATAAATATTTTATATAATATGTAAACATATATTAATCTCCACTGATGGGATTTCGTAAACAAGTTTGCAACAGTTCTTAAAAGAGCCTTCCACCACTGCCAAAACAAACAACTGAAATGAAGGAAATAAAAGAATTTGTGGGTTGACATGATGTGAATTGAATAACAACTTACCACTCCTCTCGACCCCCCCAAAAAAGATAACTTAATAGACAAATTGTCAACATTGGAAAAATATTTTTAATGATGTCTCAGAGCGAAGACAGCTCAAAAGTTAAAAGCTTAATATATTTGCACAGGCCAATTTACTATCGATAAAAACATGATATTTATTGAATGCTACTACATGCCAAGCACTGTTCTATGAGTTTTATGTATGTTACTACTCTTAATCTTTAAAACAATACTGTTAGATAAGTATTATTAACATCTTCATTTAACGGAAGGAAAACTGAGGCACAGAGAGATGAAGTAATTAGCCAATATAGTAAACTATAGAGCCAGGATAGGAGATCAGAAGTTTCATTTTAGAACGCTATACGGTAACTTAAAATGTTTTTCTTTTGTAGGTACTAATCCATTACTCTGCAGTGATGTTATAACTCCAAACTGACAACTACAATTTCATCACTGTAACTGTCTCAACCATGGGATCGTGACGCCACTGCATGAAGCAACGGTTGAAACGTGAATTTTAAAAAGTCCTTAGTTTACCCAGAGCATATCTGCAATAGTAAGAAAAAATACCCTGAAAACTCTGACAAAGATAGCTCCTTTCTCAGAGCTGCTTACGGTGCAGGAAGTTCCTTTAAAGACATAACAGTGCCAGGCATAGCCGTGTTACTGTCTGCTACAGCCAACAGTTCTAATCAGATATTGGCCAATGGAATTTTTTTTTTGAAAGATTTTTTTGGATGTGGACCATTTTTTTAAAGCCTTTATTGAATTTGTTACAATATTGCTTCTGTTTTATGTTTTGGTTTTTTGGCAGTGAGGCATGTGGGACCTTAGCTCCCTGACCAGGGATCAAATCCACTCCCCCTGCACTGGAAGGCAAAGTCTCAACCACTGGACTGTCAGGGAAGTCCCCCAATGGCAGTTCTGACACAGAGAAAGTTTGTTACAAATTTCTCAGTGAAAACTTACCCCAGTTATCTGTCCTCCAGCCAGCATGAGCTGGGTCTGGGGAATGGCTGCCTGCACTGAAGGCTGCTGGGAAGGCTGGCTTGGCTGCTGTGAATCCCCCGATTCTTCATTAGATTTAGACTGAGGTGGGGGGGGGGAATAAAAGATTTAAAATAGTTGATTTTAAAAAAATGTACTCACAATTCCATGTTTTAAGAATTATTTACAATACAGACTTATCTAATCATGAGTTTTCTGATTTCACTCTTTTCCTTTCTTCTAAACCTTTGTATTTTCCTAATTTTACGTATTAAGTTTTCAGACTTTTTGTTCTAATATCAGCAAAGCTGCAATTATAATTTTTAAGAAGAAAAAATTATTTGGTCCTCCACAAGTCAACAGAATTTTTCACAAACCCAAATCCTCAACTCTGGAAGTAAGGAGTAAGTGAAGAATACAATTTCAACCTATGTTTACATTAGACAGACCTTCCATTCCAACATTTTGACATGTCTTTGGTGGTCAGTCTAAAACTTCCTTATATACCATCTTATAAATTGATTACTTGACCCACAGAACTTTTCGTCTAATATTTTGAAGAACTATAAATTTAGCATCCCCCATCAAGTAACACACAAACTTAGAAAATGCTGCAGTCAAGAGG